ATGTGGATGTAATGATTGTTAATCATGTGTGTCTGGTGTGAACAATAATTATTTTCACATCATGAACAGTTTCTCAGAATCACCTCTAAGTGTCGCCAATAGAACCAAAACCACAGAAACGTGTGACACCAGCCCTGGAGTTGGCGTGGGGCTGCGCACATTTCCACATTCAGTTGAGTTTTGATACATCCAGAGTTTTGCGTGGATAATGACGTACGCAAGGTTTTTGTGTGTACGCACCRTTRATACWTGAGGCCCCCGGTGTTTCAGGGTCTAGTAGACTACAACTTGTTATCTGCCTCAGTGCTGGTATCAGRTGTATTTTATTGTTTTTCTTACCCACGAGTGTTCAGTGAAGTCTCGCGCAGAGCGTCAGTGACAGAACCCTGAGCAGTGTTGAATCATGTTGGATATACTGTACATTACATAATATAATCTTGTTCTTTCATGAACATTAAGTTACACTTTAGATCATCGCTGCACACTGTCCTTTTGCACACACGCTACCTGTGGATTCTTCTTGGTGTTTGACRGCTTCTTTTTCCAGTTGGCGAACTAGTTATTGAAACTAGGAATCAATTTTTTTTTATTTGAACAATTTGGGGAGAATTCCAATCAATACTCAAGACTCAAWGCCTGACCCTAGAAAAACAAGTCKATCTTCTTCGGATGGGTTACAAGAGAAAACGTCTTCACTCTGAAAACAACACAGCAGCACAACATGTGTTTGTAAAGCTTCATCTGAATAAATCACAAGACTTCCGGGACAAAGTCCTTTGGACARATGAGACCAAAGTTTGGTTTACCCAAAATGCACAGCTCCATGGAGAGAACCAAATACCCTATATCAGCAAACAGAGTCCATGTGATTCTGTAAAGCCCAGTGGTGAAGGAGTGATGATCTGGGTTTGTTCTGCAGCCACAGGCCTTCAACACCTTACAGTCATTGAGTCATGAAGTCCTCTGTGGACCTAACGTTCTAAAGTCAAGTGTGAGACCATCTGTCAAACAGCTGAAGCTTGGACCGAACCGGGCGAGTCATCAAGGCGCAGGTCACAGCAGCTGATCTACAAAAGGATCAAGGGCTCAGTCAAAATCCAGACTTTAACCTGATTAAAGTGTTGTGGTAGTTCAGAAAGCTTTTCCACTGTTGTGGTTTACACATTTGAGTTTAGATTTAATTTTAGAACCTGTTCAGGACCAGATCATTTTCATTACATGAACAGCATGGATGTTCTTCGTCCAATAATTGTGCAATATGTTATAGGTTGTGAAAAATTGTAATGTGTGCAATTAATCGTCAGAAAAACTTTAATCGATTTTTCTTTCGCTTGATCATTAATACGATTAATACCAGCAGTCAGACTGACTGGAGATTTCCCCAGCCAGTCCGCTTCGATGCTCCTCCCCGCTTCAAATATGACAAACATTTTTTAAAAAGTTCTATAATTTATTTATCATAACTCTGGTTTTACTTGGTCTGTCAACACAATTTAAAAATTGATGTATAGCCTGAAGTCTGTACTTTTGACACAATTTGGAACAGATTTTTAGAGTGATTTAAATTGGTCATGTGACTTGAACATGCAGGACTTCAGGGGATTAATCGTCATATTAATCGTTATGGACTAAATACCACAATTAATCGTGATTAATTTGTTTGCCAAAATCGCCCAACCCTAATATGTTCGCTAGTTTAAAAAAAAAGAGTTTCAAAATGACTAAACGTGGACCCTCTTCCATCAGGCTGCTGTCCCGGCAGAAGAGAGAAATCCAGATGGCGATCCGTAAGAACAGGGAGACCAACGCTGTCCTGACACGCCTCAACAGTGAGCTCCAACAGCAGCTGAAGGTGAGTCTGTTTTAGCTCCTGCAGCACACTTTGTGGATACCCACCCGATGTTTAGCTGAAGGAGTGTGCGTGTCCATCTGTTGAGTGAACTTTACGACACTCCCAGCCCTCCACCTCCTCTGGGAAACTGGAATGGGAAAACTAGCCCCACAGGGCTTAGTGAGCCCGTCCAAAGGGTGCACGCGTCACACACATTTAAATCTGACAGTTAAATCAAACAACAGGGACTGAAGTTTACTCTGTTCTACCCACAGCCACAAGGGTGTGGTATTGTTTGTCAAAAGCTCATGATTGTGTGTGGGGAAGGTGAATTTTCCTTGTTTTCAGCTGACAGCAAAGTACTCTGACTTGGTGAAAAAGCCCAAGCTCAACTCTTTGCCCTCCCTGCTCATCACTCATAGCTGAACTAATGGCAAAGACTGGGTTGTTTGCATTGGAGATCAGCCTGTGACACACACACTCACATTACCAGCACATGCTGCATGCTTGTCATTCTCTCTGTAAGTGATCCACGAGTGAAACCTTCACGCTCAAATGCAGCGCTTTTACGCCTTTGACACAACAACACCTAAAGAATAATAAAAGAGAAGAAAATGCAGCAGCATACGCCTTTTGTTCAATTCTTAAATACATTCAGTTGGATTATTTTAGATCTTTAGGTTTTATAATGATGGCGTTGGTGTGTAAAAGGTTATCTGGGATGATTTATGTTCTTTCTGATTCTACTATGYCCTTGAAACATCTGTGGAATCCTGCAAAGAAAGCCATACGTGTCTTTATATAGGCTTGGTCCTTGTTAAAAGACCCAGCAGCCACTGGCACTCACAACTGTCTTCTTTAAAATAGAGCCTGGATGGTTCAGGCATCTGACTGCAGCAGGGTGTGTGAGTTTGGAGATGCTGATTGGACAGGACKATCTTTCAGACTTTTCACAGAAGCTRTTTCAGTGAAAGTCAAGAATCTTTGTTGACCATTGTGTTGTACAACATATAGGGATGAAAATAATTAAAGGAGACCCGTTATGGTTCCTAGAACAAGTTAGGATACATCTGTGGGCTTTATAAAACATGTTCATCAGATTTAATTCACAAAATGAATCTCAGATAATGAGGTTTCAGCTGGTCAGTTCTGCCTGTTCTGAGCACCCTTCAGAACGAGCTGTTCATGCAAATAAGCTGCTGTTGGCAACGCCCTCCCAACCTTTTATTTACATTAGCTCCGCCCACCAAACAGCGTTTATGTTAGCACTTCAGATACATGAAAATAGCTACCAGTACCAGCAGATGCACAATGGTACAGCAGTAGTAAACGATCTGCACTCTCCTAGGCGAGGGCTTGGTAGGGACAGACTAGAGCGTCAGACGCTTTGGTCCCAGTGAGGCCAATGTGCATCCGCTGCCGCTTCCCAAAGTCGGCATAGTGGAGGGGGATATGATTGGAGGGTTGGTCAAGGTCCATGCCGCTGCAGCCTGGAGGCTCCCGTGTCATGAAACGAGCGCTGTAGTGCTGGAATATCCCGGCTGCAGCCTCTTCCAGCGCAATTTCCCCAGCCAGATCGGTTGACGACAACGGGCYAYTCGCCATGCGGCCACCCTGGGCAMGGGTTTGGTAGTGACAGACTGGTGCCCGGGGAGGTCAACACACGTCCGTTGCTGCTTCCCGAGGCCAGCGTAGTGGAGGGGGAAAGAGAAACAGAGGGGCTGCAGACTGGAGGTTCCCTTGTCCTGAGACGAGTGCTATGACACAGGAGCCTCCAGGATGAAGGGTCTCTGTAAGTGCTTGCATCCTCTGTCGTCAATCAAGGTGTGCGTTATTTTTCAGCATAAGTTTGTGCTAAATGACAAATCATGTTGATGCYGAACAGCAACACTAAACACATCACTTACTGCCATCATCTGCAGATTTGCGAYGAAGAGTAGGGACAGAAGTTTCCTTCAGCTGAAAGTCTTTGGGTAAATCCTGCTGTGGACTGATATTAGTTTTCAAAGGAGTCCATTGTGAAATTATTTGCACAAACAAGCAGGGACATTGCCATTGAAAATAAAAATAAAATTAGGCCACACCTCTCTGTTCTCCATGACTGTTGTTAAAACAGCAGAACTATCGTGGTCTTAATGAAGTGGGCGGAGTTTTCTCTTGGGTTACCAGGTGAGGGGCTGGGCTCGACTTAGATGTTGCTAGGGCACCTGGATTGGAACGTAACAATCCGCAGGTTTTTGAAACAGCTCATATGCTGACACTAACAAAATATATTCAGAGGTGTCAAAAGTATTCACATTCATTACTTAAGTAGAAGTATAGATACTAGGGTTTAAAATAGTTTTTTTGGAAGTAGAAGTATCAACTCAAGAATTTTACTCAAGTAAAGTATAAAAGTACTGTTTTTCAAACTACTTAAAGTATAAATGCAAAAGTAATGAACATTTAAGAAAAGCCATTAAGGATAAGAGCTTAGGCTGTGCCACAGAGTTTTATAG